CTGCCACCTAATGATAGAAATGATTATTAGGTACGCATATATAGGCAAGTCACTTGGCCATTCATTCACATGATTTACATCGGGTTTCGATACGCCATGACCAGCCTGTTCTGCTAACATCTATGATAAATATGACTTACGCATATACGCTCGCCTACGACAAATATTGTTGTATGTGTTGTGCGCATCATAGGAGTTTAGGAACGCTATTATGAACGCAAGCAGTGAAATTCAGCTGTAAAGCGGAACGAAGTTGACTCGCCAATATTTGTCATAGGAAGAATCTTCCTATGACAAATAGTGTCATAGGAGAGCGTATATGCGTGTGTCGTATTTGTCATAGATGCTAGCAGAACATGTTGCCGTGACTGGCTTCTCTCTCGCGCTCTATCGACATGTACACCATCGCCATCTTGTTTTCCATCTCTCGACTCATCATCGAAAAAACATGCTCTGTACAATATATCCGAGAACTGGCAATTTAGGAAACATTTATCGTAGTAACTGACAAAAATACCGAACTACATACTCATAGTCGCCCTACTAAATTTGAAATTACTGATCATTAACATAGATTATATACGTGTGCGTGACTGCATATTGCATGGGTGTATGTGCGAGTGGTCTGTGTATGTATAATGTATGTTGCTCCACAATATGCATGGATGCGCCCAAATGTAGCAAAAAAAGATGCAGAGGTAGAGATCTACACGCCGCGTGTGTGTAACCTGTATAACTAACTACCAGCACACGAGAACAAACAACCAGCGACGAGAACAACAACGACGACGTAGTATTTTTACACAATTTTTAATACAAACTTAAAAATAGGTACAAACGGTACAGTGTGTGTCGGCCATGAACGTGTGCGAAGTATAAGTCCACACCGGTCCCGCCACCAGCGCCGCCAGCTATAACTTCGTCAGATCAAACGGAACTCGTCAAATTTACGCCGTCCCAACTTATTAGTAGAGGACTGCGCCTTTCTCTCCTCTTCCTCTTCCTTCTCCCCTCCCTCTCCTCCTCCTTCTCCTCTCCCTCCCTGCGACTAGCATTCAGACGAAACCCAAGGAATTCGTGGATGTACTACGTCAAACAGAGTAAAGAATCAAGAGTGGAGGCGTGGAAATCCCAACGGGTGGAGATAGAAGGCACCGGGATTAGAGGAGACTCAGGGATGCCGGGGGTAGGAGGGCAGGAAAGGATCGTAGTCAACATAGAAGTCAGTTGAGGAGGAAGCGGAGGAAGAGAAGGAAGAGAAGGAAGAGAAGGAAGAGAAGGAAGAGGACGAAGAGTAAGCGGAGGAGGAGGAGGAGGAGAAGGAGAAGGAGGAGGAGGAGGAGGAGGAAGAGGAGGAGAATCAGTAGGCCGAAAAGTAAGCGGAGGAGGAGTTGGCGGAGGATGCGGCGGCAAAGTAGAGGGGGCGGTAGATGGTAAAAGGACATAATTATAATGACCGCATAGGCTGCTTACTAAAGCAGCGACAGTAGCGAGTCATGTGTGGGGGGTTGAAGGGGAGGGAAGGATGAAGTGACGGCAGGAACGAGGTGCCGAGACGCGGAGATGAGAACTGGGAGGAATGGCGGGGGAAGGATGGGGGGAGATGACAAATGGTGGCGGTGGAAGCGGTTTACCAGTTGTACGTGCGGAATGCTGCTATGGATCTTTCGTGGTATACATAGAAGGCGAGTGAGCTGCTAGCTGGGTTTTATACATAGATCAGGCTGCAGGCTACGGCTGCAGGCTGCCAGCGGGGATCTGGCTGCATACTGACAAGCAGGCACACAATCTGCACAGCGCAAATTCGCGCCGGCGTTAAAATGTCAAAGGTTCTCCACAGGAAAAGCTGCTGTTGCTACTACTACTGCTGCTGCTGCTGCTGCTGCTGCTGCTGCTGCTGCTGCTGCTGCTGCTGCTGTTGATGTTGTTGTTGCCGCCGCCGCTGCTGCTGCTGCTGCTGCGCTGCTACGGTTAGAGAGACTGAACAGAGAAGTAGATGGAGTGCACGCGGCCTCCTACAATCTCTCTCCACTCGTCCTGTCCGCTAACAATTCTAACATACAGGTCCTACAAGCCGCTCTCCCTCCCTCCCTCCCTCCCTTCCCCTCCCTCACAACACGTCAAGCATGGAGGCTCCCTCCCTATATCCTCTGCTGTCCTGCAGCCCCAGCCCCTCCCACTACACTACTGGCTTGAATGCTCCCCCGTGGACTCACAACTACTACTGGTTTGGATGCTCTACCCTCCAGCTCCCTGCCGCCAATACTACTGCTTCAATGTTCTCCCCTCCCTTCCCTCCCAGCAACACAACTGGCATGAACACTCTCCCTTCCCAATTTCCAGTACTAATCCTGGCGTGAATGCTCTCCCCTCCCATCCCCCTTCTCCCAGCACTACTGCCACGCGTCAAGCTGAAACTTAACATCAAAAGCATGTTAACATGTATCGGAATGTGTTCATATGTGTTTAGTAGCGCCGATGGCGGGACCTTGGCTAATAGGAGAAAAACCGAAATGCGTCTAATAATGTAGTATATATATATATATGTATATATATACATAAACCAGTTCACTCTACACCATCGACTGGTTATTGCACAACAGTCACTGGTATAAAATCCTTGCATGGCCTTCATAACATATAATTCATTCCCGCGGTCAATTACTGGCCAACGCCAGCTGGACCTATTTTTTTACACACAAATACAAACCGTTTCGTAACACACCACACTCTTAGACTGTCGTCCGTTCCTCGATTCAAGCCATATCTGCACATTAGTGCTGCGCGCTCATCTATAATACAGCGATTTCTTACAAAAATTAAACACTATGCTCTTGATTACAACGTATGACTTTACATAGCTTTTGATCCAACTGTATAAAATATAAAGAAGATTACAGATTTGTACCTAAAAATCTTACAGCCACTTAGGAAAAGTACCAATATATAGTCTCTCCGCACCATGCACACGCACTTCTTCTGTATATAGTTAACACACTTAATTACGTATGAAAATAACATCTTACCCGATTCTAAAACGTGTTAAATATACTATCAACTGTGGCAAAAACAGAGTTCGTGGAAGTTGCAACTTAAGCTGAAACGAACAAGATTCAGCGATCGTCAATAGTAAATTGTCAACCCGTGCCAGGCCCGTATCGGCCCCCGCCTGCCCCAGCCAGGGGCCGCATTTCAACAAGAGGACAGTCAGGGGCCGATCGGGCCGCCATATTTAATCGAAACATGTCCACACATATTCATTGACATATATACGTATATAT